CACCAGCACCAGCAACCTGTCTCCACCATGTCCACAGCCAGCTCACACACCCGGCCCCAGCACCAGCACCAGCACCCCGGCACCAGCACCAGCAACCTGTCTCCAGCACGCACGCAACCAGCTCACAGCACCAGCACCGGCACCGGCGCCCGGCACCAGCGCCTGCACCGGCACCCGGCTGGGCGCGTGTGGTGGAGACATGGTGCCGGTGCTGGGTGCTGGCAGTGCGTGTGGTAGAGACAGCGGCCCCGGCGCCGGTGGTGTTAGCGTGTTGTCGCTTGAGCGTTCTTTGTCTATTAGCGCTGTGGGGTATTTACACTCTTCAGGTTTTGTGTCAAGGGCTGTACTGTTTGCGCGCATACTTTTCTACGTATAATGTTCTATGCGCAACGTCAGGCTCTCAACCGACCATTGTTTCAGCATGTTTCAGCATGCTACGCACACAATAGTCGTGCTGGATACTGCTTGGCCTTGGGCGAGTGAAGCCTACGGGCTTTGCCGTTTGCGCGCATACTTTTGTGCGCATAAACTTATACGCGCAAGATCATACGGCCTGATCGTTCTGCAGATCGTTGCTTCAAGCATGCTACAAAGTCAATAGTGGCGCTGGATACTGCTTGGCCTTGGGCCAATGACACTTACGGGCTTTGCTGTTTGCGCGCATACTTTTGTGCGCATAAACTTATATCAACTCTTCGAGAGAGAAAGATCATATGTTGTTATTCCCAAATAGGGATGGCGATGGGGTTCTTGCTGCAAATAAGAATGAGCTGGCTGCGCTTTCGAAAGGGTGTCGGCGCTGGTGCTGGTGTTGGGGTCCTGGGTGCTGGTGCTGTGAGCTGGCTGAGCGTGCGTTTAAGACGGAGAGGTGCCGTCAGGTGGCTGTGCAGGCTGCGCACATTCTTGTTCCAGCCAGTTGCATGTCAACAGGTCGTGGGATTCTGCCTAGCTATCTGGGTCTATGCTGGTGGAATTCTTTTGCAAAGGCGAGAGAAGGGTCTTCAAAAAAGGATAACAAAAAGAAACTAGACGACGAGTGGCCCGAAAGCATTTTTCATCACGTAGGAAGTCTGAGTGCGAGTTATCTGTTAAGTGTGCAGTATGAAGTGTTAAGTCAAGTGAGTTGAGGTAGTGTGTGGGTTTCCGTGTGTGTATCTATGTCCGTGTGTATATGAGTCTCTGTCTGTGTGTGTGTGTGTCCGAGTAAGTTGAGGCAGTGCGTGGGTCTCTGTGTGTGAGTCCCTGTCTGTGTGTGTGTATGTCCATGTCTGCTGCTGGTGAGGTCTTCTCTGTACATATAGTGAACGAATTAGCGCGCAGGCCTCCCAAACCCCCCACCGGCGGCCAAGCGGTGACAGCCCAGATCATCGTCGTGAGCATTTGGGCTGCTGGTAAGGAGAGAAGCAGCGTGCACGCCTCCAGGAAATCTCACTGAAACAAGCGAGCTGGAATGAAGCATACTCAAGTTGTACTACAAAGTCGCCAGTTCTCATCTTCCAGCTCCACAGACTGCTCCGCGTACTAAAATTGCACTACCAGGTCGCCAGTTCTCATCTTCCAACTCCCCAGATACTCCGCGTACTCAACTTGTACTACCCAGTCGCCAGTTCTCACCTTCCAGCTCCCCGGATACTCCGCGTACTAAAGTTGTACTACCAAGTCATTGTACTACCAAGTCACCAGTTCTCATCTGGCCACTCCCCAGATACTCCGCGTACTAAAGTTGTACTACCAAGTCATTCTACTACCAAGTCACCAGTTCTCATCTGGCCACTCCCCAGTTACTCCGCGTACTAAAGTTGTACTACCAAGTCGCCAGTTCTCATCTTCCAGCTCCCCAGCTACTCCGCGTACTACAGTTGTACTACAAAGTCGCCAGTGCTCATCTTCCAGCTCCACAGATACTCCGCGTACTCAAGTTGTACTACCCACTCACCAGTTCTCATCTTCCCACTCCCCAGCTACTCTGCGTACTAAAGTTGCACTTCCAAGTCGCCAGTTCTCATCTTCCAGCTCCCCAGCTACTCCGCGTACTAAAGTTATACTACAAAGTCGCCAGTTCTCAGCTTCCAGCTCCACAGATTGCTCCGCGTACTAAAGTTGTACTAGAAACTCGCCAGTTCTCAGCTTCCAGCTCCACAGCTACTCCGCGTACTAAAGTTGTACTACACAGTCGCCAGTTCTCAGCTTCCAGCTCCACAGATTGCTCCGCGTACTAAAGTTGTACTACAAAGTCGCCAGTTCTCAGCTTCCAGCTCCCCAGCTACTTCGCGTACTACAGTTGTACTACAAAGTCGCCTCATCTTCCAGCTCCACAGATACTCCGCGTACTCAAGTTGTACTACCCACTCACCAGTTCTCATCTTCCCACTCCCCAGCTACTCTGCGTACTAAAGTTGTACTACCAAGTCGCCAGTTCTCATCTTCCAGCTCCCCAGCTACTCCGCGTACTAAAGTTATACTACAAAGTCGCCAGTTCTCAGCTTCCAGCTACACAGATTGCTCCGCGTACTAAAGTTGTACTAGAAACTCGCCAGTTCTCAGCTTCCAGCTCCACAGCTACTCCGCGTACTAAAGTTGTACTACACAGTCGCCAGTTCTTAGCTTCCAGCTCCACAGATTGCTCCGCGTACTAAAGTTGTACTACACAGTCGCCAGTTCTTAGCTTCCAGCTCTACAGATTGCTCCGCGTACTAAAGTTGCACTCGAAAGTCGCCAGTTCTCATCTTCCAGCTCCCCAGCTACTCCGCGTACTGAAGTTGTGCCACAAAGTCGCCAGTTCTCAGCTTCCAGCTCCACAGCTTGCTCCGCTGCTAAACGAATCGCACTCTCGCCTGCATTTCGCGCACTCGACACGCACGATCTCCGCAGAGGGTCGCGCGGTCATTTCACAAATCGCGCTCTGGCCTGCATTTCGCTCACTCGACACGCACGATCTCCGCAGGGGGTCGCGCGGTCATTTCACAAATCGCGCTCTCGCCTGCATTTCGCGCACTCGACGCACACGATCTCCGCAGAGGGTTGCGCGGTAATTTCACAAATCGCGCTCTCGCCTGCATTTCGCGCACTCGACACGCACGATCTCCGCAGAGGGTTGCACGGTAATTTCACGAATCGCGCTCTCGCCTGCATTTCGCGCACTCGACACGCACGATCTCCGCAGAGGGTTGCGCGGGCACCCGGCGCGCGGCGCTCTCGCCTGCATTTCGCGCACTCGACACGCACGATCTCCGCAGAGTGTCGCGCGCGGACCGGACAAATCGCACTCTCGCCTGCACTTCGCGCACTCCACACGCACGATCTCCGCAGAGGGTTGCACTTTCGGTTGACGCTGTTCGTCCCACCCTCCGCCTTCAAGAGAGAATTTATAAAGTGGGGAAATGTCTTTCACTTTAGGACATCTCCCGTGCTAGTTTTTCATGCTCAATGCTCACATTTCACGCTCACACTTGCCTACTCACTGCATGCTTGTGCATAGTCATTGCATGCTTGCATACTTACACTTGCATACTTTGACACTGGCATACTTCGCAATACTTCGCACTTGGATGCTTTCGCTCTTCCAGTGTGTGTGTGTGTAAGTGTGAGTGTCGACGTGTCAGTGGCAAAGTGTCAGTGTTCAAAGGATTTTCCGGAAGAACCCTTCGCAATGCTTTCGGGAAAAAAGACAGATACGTTCCTTTTAGTTTTAGATTCCTTTTTTCCGAGGTGACAAGCCTACCATCCATGGCTGCTCAGCGTCCAGTCCCCACGTCCGAGACGATCGGACGAGCTATAGACTCTTGGAAGATCGGACGATCGGGTTGCAGAGTTGTCCAAAGATGCTTTGCAACGTGCATCGGCAAGATTTACAAAGATGCAGAGGGATTTGCCTTGGTGAAGATACCACAGATACCCATATTTACAGCAAGACAGTCACACTCCAGTCTGCAGAAAAATCACACTCCTATGCTAGGATCGGTGCCAAGATGCATTCAGAAATTGCTTCACGCAGCCGCGGTGTTTGCAAAGCTTGGCATGCCTGTCCCAGTGTCCTGATCTTCAAAGAAATAGTGTAAAGGTGGTCTTGGGAAGAAGTGAAAAAGAGATTGACAAAAGAAGGTAGGGGCCCTTCGGAAAGGGTTTTTTTTCAACGAGCACACCTGTTTTTCATCTCTTTCACTTTGTCCCCAGACCGCTGGCCTTAGAGCACTATTGCTTCAGGTGCGGCCTGGCAGACCAGTCATGCTCATATCGCTGCATCGTCTCGTACCAGAGCCAGGCTTTTACAGACTTCTCTTTGCAGCTAGTTTGCAGGTTCAGAACCAGACCTCAGAAGCAGGATGGTGAGAGTTGCGTTGGGGTACTTGTAACACTTAACAGGGACTACCTGCTCTATATTCTATGTGGAGATGAACGAGTAGCATGAAAGCCTTTCCACCAAATAGAGTGTCTTCATGTGTCTTCTAGTTTGATCCAGTTTTCTTGACACTGGTAGCATGGAATCTTCAGTGCTCTTACTTACGAAAGGCAGGAACCTATGCGCTGTTGAGGTGTGCCCTGCAGAAGCAGAACCTGTTGAACTCTCAGATCGAGCGACCTCAAACACCCAGGGCAAAGCCATTGGAGACCTTCAGAGGCCTCAGTGTTGGTTTCAGCCCAAATTGGTGTGCTTCAATTGTTTGTGCCAATCAATTACGGTCAACAGTCTTGCAGCCAGTCAACCTGGCAGTCTTTTGCTCTTCACCGAGTCGATGAGTATGCTTGAGAGGCCAACCGATGACGCATGAGTTGGCAGAAAACATCCTGGTGGGGCATTTTGATCCAGGTAACAATCATCGCCACAGTTGGCTTGTGGCAGCTGGATCAAACCCCGCCTATGAACAGTTCGCCTTGCAGTGCCCAACATGTGAAAGGAAGCCTTATTGTGGCTCATGTTGCAAAAGTTGTTTTAAGCCCAGATAGCGAGAGCTATTGGGGTTCTTACTTCAAGTATAGGAAGAGGTACCTCTTTGGAGCCTGGGTGCTGGTGCTGCTGCAGGCTGCTGCTGCGAGATGTGTATGGCCGTGTGCACTTTGGAGCCTGTGTGCTTGTGCTGCGGCAGGGTGCCACTGCAGGGTGACGCTGGGTGCTACCCACAATTATTTTTCGCCTCTGAGGTCTATGCTGGTGTGATCTTCTTTTGTTTGTCAAACATGTTTGTGGAGACCCTTCCAATTTGCAGTTATTTGCCCTCACAGGTATCAGCTTTGGTACAAAGGTTCTGGACGGAATACCTTTTGGCTTTGAGCTTAGACAAATGGTTTTGGATACTGCGCAGCTGCGCAGGCCCGTCGCCTTTGATGCCCTTCCCAGCCCTTCGTCCACAGATGTTCATGAGTTGCCTGAGGTACCACCCCACCTTTCTGGTGGAGGCGCATGGCTAGAAGCTTCTTGTTACTACTAAGTAAGGCACTTGTTACTACTAGTAAGGCACTTGTTCCTAGTAGCTTCTTGTTACTACCTTTCTGGTGGAGGGGCATGGCACATGTTTGTGCTACTGCTTGGCGGTTGCGTCAACGCTTGGACGAAAGGCCTTGGATGGTGCGAAGATTTGGCGAACCCGTGACTACCGTGTGAGACGGAAAGAGACGCAGCGCCCTTGGTGCGGCCTTTTGTGAACATTGTGAAGCGTCAAGGTGAGCGGTTTTGGTCGGTTTCAGAGCTGGAGAATCCGCATTGCGCATCGCTGGCAATTTAGGGAATGCGTAGTGTGTGTAGAATTCAAAAGAATGTAAGGTGAGACCCAAAGGCAACCATAGTACTTCCATGGTGAGAATCAAGGCCTGGCCTTTGGGACTTTTCAGTGGTGGACAACGGCATCATTTCAGAGGAGTTGTTGAAAGCGGCCCGAAGGGTTCACGATTCTCCTTTGCTATGTGTTCTGCCTTTTTCTGCTATGTTTTGCTTACTATAATCTCTCAGTATCTTAGTCCAGTTGCAAGGAGCGTTGGCATCTCTTGGGGGCAGATGATGACTTGCAGTGGATTGTCCTTTTCTATGCGACTGTACACAACATGATACATTGTGATGCATCAACATCATCTATCTTGAATCTTGACACTCGCATCGCTGACAAGTGCCCAGGTAGGTGCAGCGCGAAAAGCAGGCTTGTCATATCGTGGATGTGTGGATCTTGGTCAAGCAGTGGCGTGTGTTTGCTCAGAAGTCATTGCCAGCATATTTACTATTTACTTATCGTTTGGAAGGTTTTGAAAGCCTGAGCTGAGCCTGACCACCCAAGGCTTGGTTTTGACACCAGAAGGAGAGATGCCTGGCCCAGAGCATGCAGAGGTGAGATGTTTCACGAATGGTGCAAGTTTGTGTGCCCGATCCTGGAACACATGGGTCGAGTGCGGATCCGGCATGTCAGCTATGACATCAGGCTATTAGCGCTGCTATTGCAAGGGCAGACATGAAGCCCTGGGAACTTGAGGCAACAAGCAACCCACCAGTGTGTTCCTTAATTCTTGCAAGTTGAAGAGTATGGGAACATCACCGGTTCAACAAGTCATTCTGGAACTTTTGATTTGGACCATCACTTGTTGTCTTTGACCTGAGGTGGACCCTGCGAATCCTCCACCCTTGATTGCTCCGGAGAGTCAAGAGCCTATTCCACTTTTGGCCCGGATGGCTGCGGCAGCATAAAATGACCGCTGGAGATATGAGACACCGGCAAGTTTGCACGCTTCATTCCAGATGTCCATGTCAGCACGACATGAGCTGACTAGACGCAGAGCATTTTCCACTCGCCTGAAGTGCAAATTTTCGACCAGCATGTTGTGAATCTCTTCCCAAGTCATGCATGCAACAGGTCTTCAGATTTTCGAAATACCTCAGCTGCTTAGCTGAACAGCTAGGGCAGCTAGGGCATCTTTGAGCACAGCGATTCCGACCGCTTCAATCGAAGCGCCTTTGAAGTTAGCGCGAAAAAGGTGTGCTGCTCATGAGACTTCAGTACAATTTTTCAACCTTAGCTTTGGCAGCGTGATTGAGTGTGGTTGTCCATTAACCGGTGGTCATGCAAGCAAAGAGACATGTTTGCAAACGCACACAAGAGGACTGATATACGTGCCGAAAGTCATTGCACCCATCAAGTGAAGATGTGGACGCAAAACAAAGTGGACACAAGATGCACAGCATGACATACAATAGCACAGCATGATACAGCATGTATGTCAAGTGTAAAGCTCTTGGGGTTATCAGACGCACATGGCAAACCTGGCTGGAGCCGTCTTTGAAGGATACCTGCAGGCTCCAGTTTCATACCCGGTGCTGCTTGACTTGTGCTGGTCTTGTGATGGGAGGCCCCAGGTCTCGGAAAATGTGGCTTGTCCTACCGGTGTGGACCTCGATCAGTGAACTGATAAAGACAAATTGATTTCTAATTTACATGTGGAAAAGCATGTTCTTTCAATACATGAAGATGTAAGGTTTCACAACGAATCGATGGAGCCACCAGCACCAGCGGCAGTGAAAGCCCAACGTCAAGAGCTTGGCTGGTCCTGCCAAGAGAAGGACTGGGCTTTGCGCTCTACAACTCTGCTCAACACAAAGCTCTGACAGCAGAACCTCTGAAGTCTTTCTCCAGCGACTCCAGTATCAAGCCTCATTCCGGTAGGCGTCTCTTGCTTTGAGCACTTATGCCAGGATATGACCTGCTACAGTGCAATTTGCAGTATTCCTGACCTGGGCCTGGAATCGGAGGAAGTTATAATCTCAGTGGACGCTACTGGCCTTCTGGCAGCACAGGTCATCGAAAGTCAAAGAACAGATGAGAAAAGCAACATACACCTCGAAAGGCCCCTCTGAAAGCCGGTATCCGGTATTGGAGATGTTCTGAATTGGGGTGTTTGAGAGTGACTCCTGCTTGAGGAGAAGACAGGTGTCAGAAGATGCTATTGCAGTCACTTACTCGCCCAGACCTTGGCTTGACCATCCTACGCCTTGATAGCGACGGCCAGATGATTGGTGGCGATGAGACTTGGACAGCGGACCAATCACCCATTATCCGTGGACAGCTCAGTAGAGTGCGAGTGTGAACACTTGGGACAAGATGGACAAGAGAGAAGCAGAGGGTTTTAGAGTTTTGAGAGCATTTGATGTGATTATAACTAGTAACCAGAAGCTATTAGGGGCTCCTGGCCGTACTACTAGGAGCAAGTAGCTACCAGTAACGAGAAGCTATTAGATTGGGGCGTACTAGCTTGTCCACTTGTCGACCTCAAGGTGCAAAGCTGTGTATGCCAGAACGAAAAGCACCAGTCCCACGAGTCCCGCGACCACCCACGAACGGGCCATCTTCTCCTGTTCGACGGGTGAATTCCAGATCTATTCGAGTTTCTGAGCCTGATGCAGAGCCTGCTCCAGGACCAGTTGCGAAAGCAGAGCTCAAAGTGGAGACAGACACAGAAGAGCTGTTAGGGTTTGGTGTGGTGGGTGGAAGCGAGATTCCAGACACAGAGGATGTGAGTCTTTGCATGCCACTCCCAACCGGTGACGAATCAACTGGCCGGGTTCTGCCTGGTGATCATGCACCCCGATCTGCGCACGCAGGGGGCATTGGACGCTCAGCAGGGGCCATCATGAAGGAGTCTAAAGCGCATGCATTTGGCTACAAGAAAACCGAGTCAACGCGGCCTGATTTGGCCACAGGAAAGCCAGGAGCGAAGCTTCAAGATTCACTGGGCCCAAGTGGCACTGAAGATGAGATGAAAGCTACAGCTGCAGCCAACCAGGAGCGCTTCATAGCAGCAGCAGTGGCTGGGGAAGTTGATGATGTGCAACAGCTTCTTGGTCGAGCTGGAGTACGCATTGATGGCAATGTGGAGCAAGGCCTTCTTTCTGTTTCACGCTTTCGAGATTCACATCACATGTGTCATATTAATGTCGCTCCGCGACGAACATCGCCCGCACCAGATAGTATCAGCATGGTGCGTCAGATTGATTCATAGATTCATTGTTGAGCCCAACATGCCACAAATTTGTGATGGAACACCTTTCTGGACCATGTTCCCCTAACGTAGGCCCAAGTTGGGGCCAAGTAGCCCTAAGTTGAGGGCCACATGGTGCCAACTTGCACTCAAGTTAGTCCCAACATGGAGCAATCGGGGCCTGTTTGGGGCTGAAGTTGGGGCAACATGGCCCGGAAAAGTGGTCCATTGACGCCAGCTTGCAGCATGTTGGGTTCAACTGCCCTCAAGCTGAATATTGTTTGCAGTCACAGACCGGAAAAAAAGGACCATCCAAAAAACGTCAAACAACCAGCGCAGGTATGTGTTTTTATTTTTAATCACAAGTGCATAACATATGCTATGTTACTATGTTGGACGTGTCGGGGCAACATCCTCGGAACATAGGTCATCTTAGGGGTCCACTTGGCCAAGATGGGCCCATGTTCGGAAGATGTTGCTCCGAAGCATCAATCAACATGGACACTTTTGATTTGATCATGGAATTGTTGGCCAAACTGTTTGCTTGTCTTGAACCAGGCCGAAACGCCAATCTTACAGCCCTCATGGCGGCTTCGGCGAGGGGACGCACAGATGTGGTGAGAGTGCTCCTGGACAGGACTTTGGCCAATTATTGTTTCCATGTCCAAATAAGTAGTTTGATAAAAGGCAGTCTTTGAAATTGATGGCATTCTGATTCTGAGCCAACTGATGTAGGAAGGCGGGTATCGACATCAGAGACCAAGAGGGTTGGAGTGCGCCTTGTCAAAGAAAGGAAGCAAGGTGTAAAAGGTTGAGTTTACAATCTGCGAAGCATTCTTCAAGGAAGCTCCCCGCTGGCCTCAGGCGGTTTCCTTGTAGAAGAAGACTACTTTAATTTGTTCTGCATCCCAGCCTAGTAGCCACTCAAGCTGCTGGAAGCTACCGTTTCAGTGCCTACCCTCTAGCCTTTCAAAACAAGTGCGTATAGTATGATATAAATATACGGTGTATATATATATATACTATGTATGTGTATGTGTATATTATATATTATGATATATATATATATACAAAAAAGTATATGTATATATACAAATATGGGCGGGTAAGCCGGGTAAGATAAAGAAGAGTACAGCCTTTCTGATTTCGCACAGAGAACCAGAACAGAGCCGAGGCACTGATGCATGGAATTCATGGACAGAGGATAGAAGCGTGCCAGCTCTTGTTGGATGCCAAAGCGGAATTCCAGCAGGTCTCAAGCTCGGATTTGGCTTCATCAGGGGGCAAGGATCACAAGTGGGCTAGTGCAAAGCTAGGCCGTATTTGTGGGAGTTGCAGTTGCTTTGCATGTGGTTTCTTCATGTTTGTTTCACTGTCAGACACTATGCCTTGCTACTTTGAAGCCTTTAAGGCTGCCAGGCTTCAGGTCTTGATCCTTTTAAATTTGAACAGGGGATGGTTCTTTTGCTTGCACATGTGTTTCCATTTGCATGCTTTCTTGTACTTCATCTTGCCTTGGCTTTGATTTCGCGAGGCAGAAGGTGGATCTACTCCTTTGATCCTTGCAGCTTCAGGGGCTCGCTATGAGCTGTGTAAGGCCCTGCTGGAAAAGAAGGCCATGTGTTTCAACGCGCGACTTTTCACAGCAACTGTCACCATGCTAGGCGGCGCTTTCAGTCCCTGACTCTGAAGGCATGAACATCATTTTGAACACGACATTGTTTGATGATGTCTGATGTGCTTCATGTTTGACTTGATTTCCACGTGTCGCAAGGATGTACAGCTTTGCATCATGCGGCCCGCAGGCCGGGAGTGGCTTTTCCGTCAGCCATGAAGAAGTCTAAGCAACTGACACTCTCCCACGTTGCTGCCCAGAACAGCCACAGCATGCTGATGTGACAGGGGACGCGGTGCAGCCGTTGCAACTCTCTTGAGTGCTCGTGCCAAGCTTGAGAAGCAAGATTCGCGAGGTATGTGTCTTAGTCATGCGCGTACCAAAGTTGCTAGGTTTCTTGAAGATGACACAATGACTATTAGGTTGGAGGCCATCGCTATTAGGTTGGAGGCCATCGCTCTTAGGGTGGAGGCCATCGCTCTTAGGTTGGAGCCCCTTTGCTATTAGGTTGGAGGCCATCCCTCTTAGGTTGGAGGGCATCGCTATCAGGTTGGAGGCCATCGCTATCAGGTTGGAGGCCATTGCTATTAGGTTCTGATGTAATGGACCAAGGCCACACGCCACTGATGGCAGCTGCCGCAGCTGGACGCGCAGATACAGCTACTGGTCATGGATTTGTCACGAAAATAAACGAAAGGCAAAGAGGCAAACATACTTGAAAGATTCGAGCAAAGATTGCTTGAAGAACAGCGAAACTTCCTTGGAAGTGAGGTCCAGCTGCTCCTGGCACACGGTGCTGATGCTAAGGCCATTGTCTCATAATATGAAACTCACCCTGAGACTGACCTGAGACCATTGACAAGGCAGTGGACTCCTCAGGAAGGGGAGCCAAAGACCTCGCGATTGCCTTTCAACACGATCGTGTTCTCAAGGCAGGAGAATCATATACACAATGGATCAATATCAGAACTTGCCAATACTAGGTACTGCAAAATCCTCGGGCTTAAAGAATGAACCGAATAAACCTGCAAAAGAAAAACTACGGGAATATAATATATTTAGTAATATTTCTATGTATCGGGTAATCAAAATATTTGAATATTTAATATAATATATTTTATATATTATATTTCAAAATAATATATGAATGATTTGGATTTCAGGGTTATATTTGGGTTTATTGATGAATTGAATACAAAAGAATATATATATATATAATTTGATATTATAAATTAGATTTCGATTATTTTTATATAAATTATTGATAATATGAAGATTATATTGATATATGTTATATATAGATAATATATATATATATTTAGATTAAAAATAAGGGGTCGTATTGAGTGGGTTAGTGTTTGGAATTTATTTGTGTGTTAGTTTGTT